AGAGAGAGGGAGGGGAATATCGTAAATCAAGCAAAAAATGTATTACGCCTCTTTAATTTCTCGTGAATGTGTGTGTGTGTGTGTGTGTGTGTGCATCTGTATGTGAATGAGAGAGAAAGATAGGTGGATATGCATATTGATGTGTGTCTACTAATCTGCATCTTATCTGCCTTATCCATCCATCCGTCTGTATTTGTTTAATGAATCGAATTTCGCGGCTCACTGTTTCTCGTCTGAACGGCAGAAGCAAGTCTTTGCGTAGCTATCTATTATTGTTCATATAAGTACCTTAATAAGAGAGATAGGACTAGAAAGCAGAGAGATAGGGAGAGACAGGGAGACAAAATAACAAAGCCGAAAGGCAATTAGAAAAGAACGGGGAAGAAAGAGTTAATTCTGAGAACAGCTTGTATGCTGTCTGTTTCTGCTCTGAGTGCATGTCCAGTAAATTGAATAGAGTGTGTGTTGTTGTTGTTGTCCACATGTGCTATTACATTTGTACAAATGTTCATCCTGACTGAGCTGATTGGGTCACATTGTTTGATGTGATGGATGGCAGCCTTTTATTCCCAGTGCAAGCTGGAACACACCTTCCCCCGCACTCCTGCAGTTTAACTGCAGTGGTCAAGAAGGATAGCGTGGGGAGAGGGGGGTGGGCTCCGGATGCTAGAGAGAGGATGATGGAGTGAATGAGATATAAGAGGACCAGCAGGAGCGAGCGAAGAAAAAAATGAAATACCTGCCTGCCTCATTTGTGAACATATCATTATTCTTATTTTAGGATTTGTTATGCTGCCAGACACTCCTGGAGCACAACAAGTGATGCGCTATGTTGAATCGTGCGGGCCTGAGTAGATTGAGAGTGCAGGGGCTGTCAATAGATGCATGGCCCAGTCATCTTCTCAGGGAAGAGGGGGGGAAAACAAACAAATGCATCTCATTATTGCAGCGCGCGCCTCTGCAGTGCTCTGGGTAACCCATCACAGTCCACACAGATTCAATTGCTTCTTTTAAATCAGTTTGGAGCTGCAGCCACATCTCATCTGTCTCAATAGCAGACTGGAGCCAATGGACGGCCCTGCACACAGCAACAGCTCCTCCTAGTGGACAGGAATTGATTGTATGTGACAAAAGATGAAGATGAGCAGAATGGCTTGCTGATGTGGTTGTTTGTGCTCCATCTGTTTACCCGCACATTAGCAGTGGATTTATCCCAGAATTCAGCAGCAGGTATCCTCGTGCTCCTGCTCTCCTCTGCAGCTGATCTTACGCTCACTTTTCATTCTGGCCATACCTCTTTACTCTTCGGCCAGAGGCTTTCATGTCTCTCTCACACATGTTTACCTATCCTGCATTTTGAGCTCCCAGTTCAATCTCTGACGTCAGCCTTTGCACTTGATCTCTGATGAAAGACAAGCTATCTTGACAGTACCCATAGTATGCAATTATACAGGCTCACCTAAAGCTGGCACAATAGACAATCAGGTTCCTGTATCTTGTGCATGATTGAACTGATAGTCTTGGTAAAGAGTACCTCAAAGATCTGCAGAAATCTCTTTGATTGTTAGTTGGTGACAGATTTCTCAATTTACTGCCAAACAATTTCCAGTCCCTTGTGTTAAAAGCAGTTTTTTTTCCCTTCCTGGAATTCCTATTTATGGTTGGATAAAAGGGTTTTAGAGTAGAACAGTAGATAAGTGAATACTGCTTTGATCAGTCCAGAAAGCACATATTTAGCTCGGGGGTGATCTGAGAAGAGGAGTGTTTGGTGTTTGCTATGATAGATTAGCACTGGATCGGTTTCATCACCATTTCATCTCTGTATTCTCTTTTTGTCCACAATTTGTATTCTAACACAACAGAACATCAAACCTCGCTGTAGTGAATCACTCAAAAGCTGACAGCATGACATTCCAGTCATTTCCAAATGTTGCCAGCGCTTATTATTATTATATCATTGCATAGGCCAATATCCATCTGTGACAGCGTCTGCTTCCTCTAACCAGAGATTAGCCTGATAGATATTAGATAAATGATTGAATAAATATAAAACTTGAGCTGTTGTTTCTCTCATCCAGTTCCTCCCTCCAAGCCGTACCTTATGGTGGACATGGCAACCCCCTGGGTGGCAGGGTCCAAGTACACGGTCACCTGTATCGCCCCTGACGCAAAACCCATGGCTGATATCACACTCTATAAAGGTGAGTCGCCACAAATGTGACAGAAACGTTGAGTTTGACAGGTTAGAACTATAGGTTGCAACCTGAATATTTAAATAAGAAGATACTGTAAGATATGAGACCATTAAAGATCTCTTATTTCATAGTCTTTGAATAGCAGTGTTGAAAGTAGCAGACCGTGTGGGAGGAAATAGCCTCACATTGGAATTTCCAATTTCTACTGTCTTTACCATTGCATGTGCAGAGAATGTGTCACAAGTTTTGTAGTTGTTCACAAGAACAACAGCAATTTTTCCATTTTCTATCTTTGCCTCTTGCTCGCCCGTCACACCTATTATACTGTATATTGCTGAAGCGGAGGGGGAGTGATGTTCTATTTTTCTTCCTTGGTGTCGATTAGTCTCAGGGTAGTGCTGTAGTTCTAACATATATATATTATTTGTCGATGTCAAAATGTACATCCCTATTTTTTCCATAAAACATACAAATGTTTTGGTCTTATTATACCGCTGTATGATTTTGATTTCAAAATATGTAGGGACAGGTGTAATGTTTACTGAAACAGACACATATATTGTTGCACACGCAGAAATACACATGTCCATCATATCTCAGTATTTACGATTCCACACGAGAATAACACTGATGTTTCTGTTTCACATGAACACATTTACACTCTCCCTTTTTGTGTTCCTTCCCCCCATTGTGTCTCTTAGATGGAGTGGAGCTGACAGGTGCACAGTCTTTCACCACGTCTGGCTCAAAGGATAAGCTCCTGAACACGCATGCCGAAGTAACGTATGTGTTCCCCCGCGTGCCAAACTCATTCTCCTCACTTACATTCTCAATCTCCCCAAGTCTGTCTTTGTTTTCTCCTTTTCCTTGTTTTCACCCGGCTCTTATTCTCTCCCTCTGTTTTAGCGAGCACAATGGATGTCTACACACAGCGAACTGTTACTTGGCACTGTGCGATTAAATTAGCTTTGTCAAATGCACGAAATTACATTCCGGTAGCGAGACCGATCCGATCCTCGCAGGTTCGCCAGGTGCCTTTACATTAAACAGGCCCATAGATTACTTTAATCCTGCTTGTCTCCTCTGTGTCAAAGATAATAACCTCTTGTCATATCCTGAGATAACATTGGGACTGAGGAGCTGCAGCGTTGTTCAGCAGCCGAGGTCTTAAGCAATATTGATGCCCCTTCCTCATATTCACACTGAGCGTTCGCAGCAGCGGGCCATGTGTGATCGTTACAGCCCACATTCTGCTGTAATTTGAAATAGAAGACATGAACTGAGAGAGTAAACTAGGCTCAAAATAAAACCACTGCGTTGAAGGGACCTTACAAAGGGCATTTTTCAATCCACACAGCAGTGCAAAGTAAATTCACTCAAGAATTAATTGGAAGAGCCTGTATGAAGTATTGCCATTTTTGGCCATATACTACTTTTAACTACATTTCAGAGGCAAATAGTAGCAATAATTACTTCACTACACTATCTGATAGTTATATTTATGAGTTTGAATTAAATAAATTCAATGGGAAACAAATATAAGGCTAAAACACATTGTGAAAACGGTTCTAAACCCTTTTTGGTTTGGTGCATAGTTTGGGCTTTATGTTTCGATTCAACTTTCTTTGGCTTTTATTAGTTCAAAAAAAGTGAAATGTTACCTCTTTTCTCCTTAGATGGTTTAAATCCATCCAATGTTTCAGCAAAAAAAGTAAGACTAGCGAAAAAGTCAAAGACATGCCTACACACCAGAAGTTATTTTTCTTCGATCCTGCCCAATGAACCATCTCACAGCCCCTCAGACTTGTTTTGTGACTCCTAGATTGGCTGCCCCTTGGACTAAACTACCCAGCTGTAGAGAGAGGCTAGTGAAAAAGATCTCCAACTCCACCAGCTAACAGTATATTGCAAATGCACATTGATGCACCAGTTTTAACTATCTAAAAAAGACATTTAGAAAAGATATCACATGTCATATGAGGCATTTTACTATGGAACAAGTACTTATACTTTGATATTTTAGAGCACATTTTACTTACTGATAAAACTTCTATACTTTTACTGAATAGGATCAACTGCAGTACTTTCACTTTTAAAAGTATGTCAACATCAGTGTTTTTGTCATTTGACTACTTTAAAACTTCATCTGGCTCAATGTTAACTCTTCTCAAGTCTTTTCACCTTCTCATTTTGTCTGTGTTTCTGTTTCCTCCCAAAGGGTCACTGCTGTGAGCTCTGACAACGGGAGGCAGCTGGCATGTCATGCACAGAACCCCGCCCTCTTCCGGCCTGTGGAGACCACAATGACCATGAAGGTGCACTGTGAGTGTCTCAACCTGTCTTTAAACTGACAGTAAATACCCCTTTTCTTTAAAAAAAACCAAAAAACAAGCCCTCGTGTACAAACACAGTCAACCACACAGGAACACAACCTTGGGGAGGCCCAAGGGTGACCGTCCTTGTGCAATCAGTCTGTGTTAGCGGTCCAAGGAGAAGCATTCGCCTTAAGGCAAACTCAAACCTACTTCAAGGCAACGTGAGTGTGACTGCCTCCAGTTCACACGGCTGCCCCTGGTGGGCTGAGATGAATATGAACAAAGAAGCAGGTCTCTGGTTTTCTTACTGTAAAATCGCTTAGTCCACAGTGGTGCCATGATTCAATTTATATTTACTGTTTTATTCAGTGTTCTTAAAATGATCTACACCCTTATTTCCAACTGAAACCCATAAACTATTTACGAGACCAACTGAGAGGGATTATATCAGTGAGACCTCAGGACCTGCAATTTAAATAATAAAGTAATATGAACTAATATGGGATGCTGAGGCCACCACAGTTAATGATAATGAATCTTACAAAACTAACCTAGCAAACTTTTGTGCTCATCAGCTTAAATTACATTTAGAATCCACTGAGGCAGGAGGGGAGGCCGTTTCTGTTGCTTTTTTCCTTTATGCTATTATCACAAACCGCGTGACATTATATAATAACAATTGTTACTGCAGCACACAAAGGTGAGTTGACACATATGCTGTCTCTGGCTCTCATTGCATTTGGCATTTCTTGTTCCTCTTATTTGTAGAGGCAACAATGAAAACCATTGTTGCTGAACACACAAACCGTGTGACATGGCAGCTAATGTTTACTACAGTTGGTTTAGTATTTTCTACTCTGTTGATCAGTTGAAGTAATTGATTGTTTAGGCCCGAGAGTTTTCCCACCTGCTTCTCCTTGCCTAAATCATGTTGTTGATTAAAGTAGAGCAGGGCTGCTGACACCTTTAGCAGTGAGCGCTCACTAGCTCAGCTGCCGTATTATCCACAGGCTGACTAGAAAACTTAATGTTGTCTCTATCTATACTCTTCCACATTAGAAACAGCTGCTGCTGGTTCAACAACCACCAATAACCATGAGCAGTCCTCCCGCCTCTCCGTCTCCTGCTCTGTATTAAACAACATAGGCACGGTGCTAATGTTGCAGAACTCGGGACCACCGCTGTAGTCTTACTCAGCATGCCAGCCCATCAAAGCCAGCGCGGTGGCCATTTTCAGCCAGCCAGATTGTTAGCAAGGTGGCAATTTGTCACACTGGCCCAGGGTCCGCAGCCTGCTCTCTGAAACTGATTGCAGCAATAACAAAGGCCCGTCCTCTCCTATTTACTGCCTATATTTTATTCAAGGGGGCTCTAATTTATTCATATTTCACGTTGCCTTATTACTGTTTGAACATCTGTTATGTTACTTTATGGACTGGATCCAGCTCACTGCTCCCTTAATACTTAATGCTTTCATCAGATCTGGACCTCTTATCCCACAGTCATGTTGATTGTGCCCAATTTATTGGCCCTGTCTCAACAAATACGGATGCTCCCTACTCAATTGCCAAGAGTGTTCTCATCGCAGTGCAGTTTCTTTTTTATGTTATTCTCTTGATGGATCCCCGTTTTGCCAAGCGACTATATTCTTTCTCATCTCTCACCCTCTTTTTCTTCTGCTTTCCACCGCCATTTATGTAAGTCCCCTTTGTAAAGGCCAAATTATTTTTGTCTCTCATTTCCTGGCAGACCCACCTCAGCCTCCAGTTATTTTGGGTCTAGAGAGAGAGGAAGTCAAAGAGGGAAGAACGCTCGTGTTGGAGTGTGTGTCTCATGGTGGAAACCCCCTAGCCACTCTCCAATGGACCAAGGTAAATCTTCAGCACCATCTGTTAAGCAGGCTCTGGAACACACTGTCACACTGGCAACATTAGCTTTTTTATTCAACTTGCAGTGTAAGCATCCTTTTGTTAGAAGCTTCTGTACTTTATTTAGTACGCCATATGGGACTGTGCTAATTTTCTAAACATATTCTTGATGTTGCCTTTTTTTTTTTTTTTGGTGTCTGTGTTTCAGAATGAAGAAGTTCTCTCAACAACGTGGGAAGAGGACGTTGTGGCGCGGAAGTCCAGCAGTATCCTCTTCATGAAAATCCATCCAACAGACAACCAGGCAGTGTTGTGCTGTGAAAGCGTCAATATGGTGTCTTCGTCACCTCTTTCTGTTAGCCACAAAATCACTGTGCTCTGTGAGTGAAAGTAATGCTTATTACAGTGCACAGTGCTGGAACACACACACACACACACACACACACACACACACACACACACACACACACACACACACACACACACACACACACACACACACACACTCACACTCAAAGCGCTGGCAAGACGAGCAGCAATGGATTATTTAGGATATGGACAAAAGGCTGAGCAATATAATAAGAGTCTTACCTCAAAAAACAATTATATTGCTGTCCCAGCATAAATTCTAATGCTAATATCATTAATGAAACTAATGGTTATTATGGCTGCGGCCCATATTTCCCACTGCCTTCAGATTAATATCACAGCACGCTCTTTCATAGCTGCTACAATAATTTAGCTGATTTGCTTCAATGCACATTCCTGAGGCAGTACAGCCTACACTTTGTGCGATAGTAACGCCCATGTTTAATAGATTATACATTTCTCTTTGAATTTAAAATGTTTGTTTCAGCAACAATAAAACAAATACAGAATTAATATTCAGCAGCCTTAGTGCATTGAGTCTAACAATAGCCTGATTACCACTACACAGCCAGACTACTGTATGTAAGTCCGGGCTTTAAATGTGATTGATGCACCTATTTTATGTAAATATGCTTTGAATTAGAAACGGTCCATGCAGAAATCTCCTGCTTATTCTATGTAAGGGTGGCTGAAGTTATTCCACTGCCCCTCCTTTCATAACAAAGCCCCCAACAGACCCCGGTGCCATGCCTCACAGTCATCCATTCATGGATGTTGAAAATGAGCTGCTGACTGCCTGACTGCGCTGTAGGCACTGGCAGAGGCTGGAGGGCACAGAGTACGTCTCACTGGTGTAATATGAATATGCCTCTTTTACCTCACGGCTCCTGCTTAATTCCAACATTCTTTGTGTGTGGCATTCACACAGGCGTCCCGGTCTATGTCTCATGTGGGAAAGACACAAATAAGTATTAAGATTTACATACATGACCCCTCCTTCCCCATGTCTGCCATGTCTGCCAGCTCAGTCCCCAGTCTTTGTATTCCCCGGAAGGCTTTATGCAGCTGCATCGCTTTGCCTGCAGCTATTGTACCCTCGTCTCCCCCTGTGGTTAAAACGAAGCAGACTTTAAAAACCACAGTGAAAACCTCCTGAGAAAACAAGTTGCCACTCAAAGTGATTTTCCTTCTCACCCTTGATGCAGCTCTATGTTTCATATCCCAAAATAGGTGCGCTGCCACTGTGATCAGAAAAGGTAGCTGTTGAATGTACTATTTCATGGGCGATATTTTTACCAACTTGTTTTTGTATGCCTTCCTGTCTGTGTGTGCGTGTACAACAGTTGAGCCTGCAGAGGTGACACTTTTGGGGTCGTTCACGGCCATCGAGGGGCAGGACATAAATATGGGCTGCTACGCCACCTCCAGTAATCCACCTGTCGAGATCCGCTGGTGGCTGGGCTACAAGGAGCTCAACACATCCGGAGAAGCTATGGAAGAGGTGGGACTACACAGCACACAAGGTTGCAGTCTAAGCAAGTAGAAACAATTATGTTGGCAAGAGATAGTGTACAGTGACAATGGGTTTTAAATGAATGATCATGCTTGTTGTTTTAAAGCGAATACTGCAGTAGGGTATGTTATTGTGTCTTTTTGGTGAACACAAGCCTTCAAAGATAAAGGGCAAATGCCTTGCCCCCTTAAATGTGCCTTGAGGGTAATAGAAAAAACGTTTAAAAGGCCTGCCATTGAATTAAAAAAGAATCCTCTAAAATGTGACCTCCTGTGAACCTTTTAGATGAAAGGAAACGCTATGACCATGAGCAGTGTGTCTGAATAGACCTATACTGCAAATGAATCAGCAGGTGGTTCTCAGAAGAGTATTCTGCTGCTCCTATCCTCTTTTGTGTATGTTAATAAGATCAAAGTGAATAAAAGCTGACACGGAAGATGAGCGTTATTAAACAAGCTCTTTATTCATCTGGCAGCAGCATTTTCATTTGATCTTACACAAGGCACTCAGTGTGCTGTGTGTGAGCTTTAATGCATTTGAAACAGTGTGAGGTTAATGAAGACTGACGCTCCTGTCCAGTGTCTTTGTTAGTCTTTCTGACTGGGGCTTTTACAGTAATCACCACAATAATGGCTTTAATAACCAGATGTGCTGCACAGGCATGACCACTATCAGGCAGGTGCGAAATGATGCTTTGCTCAATTTAAAACAGCGTGCAAAGCAGAAGAGTCTGATGAATATGCTATTTATCAAAGACCATGCACAACATCAGTCATTACAGCCGCTAATTTGACATTTGTATTCGCAAAGACAAACCAATGTGGGTTGTTATTCTCACTGATTTCTTTCTCCCTCTCTCCTAAGACTGAGAATGCCCCTGAAACCAAGGCTGTCTGTCCCCTGACTGAACTGTCATGTGTGCATTATGTCTGCAGGGAGACAATGGTGGGATGACAGCCATGTCTAACATGACCCACAGGGTCTCCCGGGAGGACGACGGACTGAAACTCACCTGTGAGGCTTTCAACAAGGGGACACACTTCTCCAAGACCCAGTTCGACATACTCAATGTCTACTGTCAGTTACCTTTCTATTCTTCTATTGTTGTAGAATTAACTAGCGTAAAATACTTATGCGAGGAGAATGACATTTTATTTTGTACTACTTTTAACATCTTATCAAATGCACATCCATCATAGTTCAGGAGGGCTAGATTTCAATTACAGCTCTGAATGTCAAGAAATGCAAAAAAAGCAAAGAAATTGCTCTCACTAATTTAATTCTCAACACAGAATGTGCAATTGTTTTTTTAAGGACTGTCTTTTCACATTTGTGTTGATGGAAGTGTTTTCTGTTCCCATTTTCAAATCGAAAATATTCTATTTAACTGGCCTTGAGCGATGGTCTCTAACTGAAGCTACTGGACTGTTAAAAATAAACACGTATGTCAATTTGCTCAAAAGATTCTACTAAAGGACATATTTTTGTTTCTTTCTATATCAGATCCCCCTCAAAATGTATGGCTCGATACCCCCCCTCCAGATGTCCCTCTTCGTTCAGGCACCACGGTCCGTCTCGTCTGCTTCTCCACTGGAGGCAATCCCACTGCGACTCTGACTTGGTTCAAGGTGAGTGTGTACTGTATGTGTGTATTGGAGCGTATGTCTGAAGTACACACTCTTCCCTGTGTAATTTCCTCCCTTCCTGTTGTAGAATGGAAGGGCAGTCCACGATGCAGTGAGGCAGACGTCCTTTGAGCGGGGTGTGGCTCGAGAACTGATCCTGGTTCTGACGCCAAGTGACAACATAGCCACCTTCCGCTGTGATGCCACAAATAAAGCAGAGAAGACCATTTCTGCCCAGACTAAGCTCAAGGTTCACTGTGAGTTAGACTGGAGCTCTGACACTAACACATGCTGAGCTTTATTTCAGTCTCACTCAGCTGAGAGAAAAGCACAATATAATAATAATAATAATAAATGGGATTTATATAGCGCTTTTCTAGACCCAAAGACGCTTTACATTACGAGTAAGGTCGACAAACAAAACAATATCAGATGAATGGATTCATTTTAAACCATTTCACACAGATTTCCAGTATTTGGTACTCTTCTCATCTTGAAATTGTCAGTGAGTTAAGATTGTGTCTCTTTTGTTTACTCTATGGTGCTCCAGTCCTGGCAGTAAGTGTGAAGATCTCAACCAAACAGGAGGTGCAACGTCAGGGACAGATGCTAACTCTGGAGTGCCAGTCTGGAAGCAGCAACCCCCAGCCCATCATCCGCTGGAGTTTGGACACAGTCAGGTTTGGCAAGGCCATTGGTGGAAAGGCCTATAGCAGACAGTGGGCCTCATGCAGCCACATCATTTTGAATTTCCCTGGAATTTGTATTAATTTAAGAGAATAATTATCGTCTCCTGATACACCAAACATTCTGAACCATGGCAGGTGTTCTGCCATGTGCACACACTCTGGCATATGCTTAAGAATTGAATGGATGCCACCAAAACGTCAGCAGTATTGAAATGGTGGTACTGTTAAATAGAATTGGAGGATGAAACCCCCTTTAATGGTCACACATGTGCACGCACACACACACACACACACACACACACACACACACACACACACACACACACACACACACACACACACACACACACACACACATAGTGACATTTGTTCTCTGCTTTTTACCCATCCTAGTACTAGGAGCGTTGTTTAGCAGAGCAAAATAAAGCTAAACAAAGGAAACATTTTATTTTCCAGAATGTCAGAACTTGTGTTACAGGAAAGTCAAAAATCATTGAATAGCAGTGAAATTCAGATTAGTTTTTCTTGCGATGGATAAACAAATATTTGTTCTAAACTTGGTAAAACTTTTACCTTAGAGAAGAAGCAAAAAGTGTTTAACATGGTTGATTCCCAGAAATCAACGGGCACTGACAAAATAAGAAAAACATGTGGATATGAACAAAAACAAGAGAAAATCTGAATGATATCGCTTCCTGCACGAGTCCCACTGACAATGTGATAGCGGCATATATATTAGTGCTGAATGACTGTAAAATGGTGCTACAATTGTGATTGTTTGATGAACCTGAACCCTCCTGTTGATTTGATTGGCTGGATGCAATTTGTGTCCTACAGTAGGTTACAGGGAGTTGAGCAGCCCCCCAGGAGGGCTCATTTTGGTGGTGTGTCAGTGCAGAGTTCCCTATCCCTAAATCTGAGTTCACTGCATCACAACAAGCGTGTCATCTGCCAGGCCTACACTCCGGAGCTAGCTGAGGGGGCTAACACATTCTTTAAACTAAATGTGCATTGTAAGTAGAGGGAACATCTTTGATTTCTTTCTTTCTTGGTTTGTTTGTTCCCTTCTTTCTTGGCGAGTGACCATGAGATGTGTTTTCTTAAACGATGTAAGCTGCTTTACTGATGTACTTTTGCACATAAATGTCAGCATATAGTATGTGCGTGTGTTTTTTGTTTGCTGGGAAAACCTTTGTTGGGATTTGTGGATCTGTTGAGCTCTGCGGCAGTGTGTCCTAATTGTGCATTTGCTTTGCTGCATGGCCATGTTTGTCTTTGATGCCATTTCACAGGCAGCAGCCAGCCTCTGCTTCAAAGCTTGCTACTGTGTATGAGCATGAAGGAATGTCACTGTGTGTTTGTGCGGAGCTGCAGTTGGACAACAGTACTGTCACTCGTCATTTTAATGCCTGTCCCTCTCCCTCCCGCGTTGCCTTTCTCCCCCGCCATCTAAGTATGCGAAGTTGGTTAGATCTGGATTTATTGGTGGGATGTCGACTTTTTTTTTACTGGTTTGACTCTCATTAGTGTCTCTTCCTGCTTCCACGCTCAACATGTTTTGTGTGTCTTTGTGTTCTCCTTTGTTGGTTCGTGTCATTCTCTGTGCTAGAGTTTGTATTCACGCCTTTGCTCATGTATTTTTGGTGTAAATCCAACTTGCGTAGCTGAATTTCTGTGCTGTTTCTGTGTCAGACCCACCAGAATTCAGCCCTAAGCAGCCGGCGCAGATTCAGGTGTTGGAGGATGACATGGCAGTCATCCCATTGCTGCTCTCAGCTAACCCGGAGGAGGTCTCCTGCATTTGGCTGCACCGCAGGGAGACGCTGGTCAAAGGTGATCCGAGGCTGTGTGATGGCTCTATAAACCAGGTCCTAGTTGAGCTGAGCCAGCAAGTAAGCACTCAGCTCTGCCATTCAGGGTCTGAATAAAACATGGCAGGTTAGCCAGCATGGGACCCTGCCAAATGTGATTCTCATTATGGCTCTAATGTATGCAGTCTAAATGAGGTTTGCTGTCTCCCTGAATACAACACAACGATTCTAAACCTGGCTTCTCCTCCAGGCCGGTGTCATCAGGGCCCTGCTGCACCCACTCTCTTTCTCTGGTAACTCTGTTAGCTCCATCATACGCAACCCCCACCATAAAAATCTATCCTGAATGTGGAAACCCACCTATTGCATTTAGACTGCTGCGGTGGAGGGGGTGTCTCTCACACAGCCCATTGTCGGCTTGATGTGGGAATCCTGCCAGGCCAATCAATAATGCAGGATTAGATGTCACTTAGAGACCAGTGGCCAGAGGACACGCGCTTGATGAGAGTGTAATGAATACTTAATTTACCGTTGTTTTGCATGTCTCTACGTGTGTGCGTTTCAATGTTTTTGTAAAGAGGGGAGTCTGCACTTCCACTGGTCAGACGACAACTCCCTGGAGATCAAGAACGTGACAAGGAAACATGCTGGAGTTTACACGGTCAAGTGTACAAACGAGGAGGGCGTCAACCAAGCTTCCATCATGCTGGATGTTCTGTGTAAGAACTGCACACACAGAGTGGATGAGCATGTAACCATAACACCAATTTACATATCAACATGGATCCCACATGTGAATTGATACAGGTTGAAAGAGGTCATAAAAGTGCTTCAATTTATATATATTTTTTGCAAGAATAGAAATTGAAGCTCTTTTGATTTTTTTTCTTTCTTTAACGAGTAAATAATATATGTTGTGATATGTGAGTGTGTATCTACTGCAGTGCGTCATTGTTTTCAAACAGCACCTTCTTAGAGTTGTTGAGTCCTGAAATCTGAGGAAAATGGGGCTTTAAAAGTCTTTGAATCTGATGCTTAAGAAGCGGTGGGAGTCCTGAATTATAAAAGGTCTTTGGTGGCAGTGGCAACATGACTGCATTTTTTCCCCAGGTGTTTGGATCATTTTTCATTTACCTTTGAAAGCAAGTTAAATTATTTACAGTAATTCCTAAAGCTTAATTAAAGTTCCCTAGAGCACTTAACACAGGAAAATGAGCAAAAGGGATGGAAATGAGAGAAAAGGATGGGAGTATAAAAATCATTATTTCTTCACCTTCCTGCTATTCATTCATAATTGATCACTCTTTTACTAGCATGCCAGATTTGCAGGTAAACCTTGGGTCCATAGTGGGCACAAGTCAAGCTGAATAGGCTTCGTCCTTAAAGTACAGAGAGTGAGCAGAAATAAAAAATAACGGTCCATTTTGTACTCTGGATTTGAATCTGTAGACTTCTCACATGTTTTGAACTCTAAAGCTGCAGAGTATCAGAACCGCCAAAGCATCCATGCACACAGACACACACACAGACACACACAGACACAGACACACAGACACACACACAGACACACACAGACACACACACACACACACAACACACACAAAAACACACACACACACACACACACACACACACACACACACACACACACACACACACAGACAACACACAACACACACACACACACACACACACACCACACACACACACACACACACACACACACACACACACACACACACACACACACACACACACACACACACACACACACACACACACACACACACACACACACACACACACACACACACACACACACACACACACACACACACACAACACACACACACACCAGACAGACAGACAGACAGACAGACAGACAGACAGACACACACACACACGCACACAGACACACGCACACAGACATCACCATTGGCTTTCAGCCCCTACCCAGCAAGCATGACACATTCATTAGGCCTCAATGCAAGGCCGTGCTTCTCCACTGCTGCCCGGGGCCTCGCCTCTAGCTCCAACCCTCTGCCCCGATACTGATGATTTAATAATGGAAGTGTTGAAAATGTAGGCCTGCCTGTTTCACCAAAGCCCATGGTACACACCTAATGGATTCTGCCGGCCTGAACTGACTGGGCTTGACAGTTGTAGATATTCATTATGTATGGATGATTGTAGTAGCTTTTATGGGTGGCGGTGTAGACCACTTAACTATGTCGGTCTTGGTTAGCAGGCCAACACGGGTGGATCCCACCAACCCAGAGGTCTGTGTCTCTCTGGTGTTTCTCACCACTGTTCTTCAAGTGCAAACATAGGTTTAGACAAGGAGGAACTAATGGCCTTACTGTTGCAAGTACATGGCACTCATGGGAAGTATAAAAAGATTATGCGTTAGGGGCAAATAACGACTAGAGGAGCCAAGCAGTCGGTAAGGAAAGAAGACTTAATGAAAAGAGGGGAGCCGTTCAGTCTGTCATGTGGGAATCAGCTGTCAGTGGAGGGCCTTCTGGGTCAAAGGCACAATTCTCTGTTTGGTTGCATAAGCATCTGTAATCCTCCAACATATAGAAGGGTTAAAAGCGTTCCATCTCAAACGCAAAGCCGAATTAAGGCGGGTTATGAACAATTTCAAAGGCAAACGAGTGCCAGGGTAATTATAGCAATGTGGCATGCTTGCTTAATGGGTTGACAAATGATTTTTCCCAAGTTGGCATGTTAAACTTTGCTCTTGCCTTAGCCTTGTCCTTTTTTTCTGACTCTCAGATGCTCCCAGTGTCAAGGCAGAGAAAGACCCTGTGTTAGTGAACCTGGGGGAAACAGCAGACCTAATATGTGTTGCAGATGCCAACCCCATTATATCTGGCATGTTCACTTGGAAATGGCTGGTAAGAGCTCGGGATACACACACAGAATCATCCCCTGTATCATATTTCCTTTATCTGGCTTGCTTTCTATTATTTTATCCATTCCTAACGTTTATCACTGGCCTTTCTAAATGCACAGATGCACCATATTTCACTGGCTCTAACTATCCCTCCACCCCACCTCTTCCTGCTCCACACACGGTCCAAATCCAGAAAAATAGCTTTCATTACCGCTGCGTGACTAAAGGGCACATTCGTCAATGTGGCGTGGTCTCTGTATCTACTGATGCCTTCTCCGGTTTAACCCACCCCCTGGCAATAGCGTGTGTCCCGCTTTCAACCTGCCCAGCCCCTCCCGTTTCTCTTTCCCTGTGGCTCTCCAACCCTTAGCATTATCTTTCTCTGTCCTCAGAGCTCGTTCCCCCGACGCCCTTTCCATCCCGACCTCAAGCCCTGATGGTTTCCCGCTCAACTCTCCCTCATTGTCTACCTGCCTTTTACTCGCACTGCCCTCCCCCCTACTCGGGCCCTCACCCAGGAGCAGGGGGAGTGTGTTTTGAGGGATAGCTGCTGTCTGCCGCTTATTCGCCCTCACTTTGTCTTCTGCAGGGAGAAGGGGAGGTGGAGATGGGAGAGGAGAACCAGCAAGACGAATCTGGCCTTCTGACCTTCCATGATGTGACTCGTGCTCATGCTGGTCTTTACCAGTGCTCAGCCAATAACGACATAGCACCCCCCGTCACTGTAGAAGTGCAGCTGGTAGTTCAATGTAAGTTTTTAGTATTTATTCTCAGTGTAACAGAGTAATAAAACATAAATGAATACTCATATAGGGAACATTTACATGTATTTTATTGTACTAAAAAATACACCTGTACTCCTTCCTCCATGCCCATCTTGTCTTGTGTAGTCAAACCTAATCTTCAGAAAGGAGCCCAATGGACGAAGGTAGCAAGTAGAGGCGATGGCACCACAACGGCTGAGGTAGTGTGTCAGGCCGAAGGGATTCCTCGCGTCGACTTCACTTGGGAAAAAAAAGGTGTTCGCATGGACTTTGCCAACCCGAGGTCAGGAAGCATGCATTATTCTTTTCTTACTCTTCCTCACACTGTTAGCTTCAGTGCTACTGTCAGCATTTGGTTTCAAACTGATGAATCCTCACAATTAGAATATGTTTTACCCAAATATAATATATTCTTTAGCTATTCCTTGCTATTTCACCACTAAATCCAGATTTAGAGCATTTTACACTTTGCTTTTCACTATGCAAATACCTGTTTAATGCTTTCTTTGATGTGTGAAATTGGGTGACTTAGTGCGATCTGCAGGACATCACAATCCCTGCTGTCTGCCTGCTCGGGATTTATTTCTCTTTCTGTGTGTGTGTCTGTGTGCGTACGTGCATGCTGCAGGTATGAGGAGCGGACCTTGAGGGAGGGCTCCTTTCACACCAGCACGGTTAGAGTTGTAAATGTGAGCACGAATCTGGACTACGCTGTCTTCAGCTGCACGGCTCGCAACCTGCTCGGGGAAGACACGCTCCACATCCAGCTCGTCAGCACAAGTACTGCATCTGAATACATTTGGGGGTTGTGTGTGTATGGGTGTGTGTGTCTCTGGGTGACTAATGTTGGCCTATGTAAATGTACCTTCAAACCATCCACTTTTCTTGAGGTACGAATAAGAACCCGGTCTCAGCGTTGTAGCAATGCATTTTTTATATAAGAATTCAATGGGTCTTCAGTGTTTCCCACAGAATTTGATTTAGCAGACGCCTTATTCCAAAGCGATTTACAATGACCAATTATAGGGACATTCTCCCTGGAGTAACCAAGGGCTAAGTGCCTTACTCAAGGGCACACTAGTAGTGGTGTTCCAGGCAGGATTTGAACTCGCAACCTTCCGATCATCAGCCCACCTCACTATCCACAAAAAAAAAAAATGGGAAACACTGGTCTTTGAAAGGTTTATTTGGCTTCAGATGGAGGAGATTTCATGGTGTTAAACATGATCCAATTACTTTCTCCATAACAGCAACAATTTGCTAAAAGTGAAAATGATTATTTTTGATGTAATGATTGTGTTGTGGTGGGTCAGTAGTTAACACAAACCACTGAGAATGAACACCCAACAGCGCAGTTCCACAAAACTGTAGCTGCGTGTTGCCAACTTCGGCTCATTGTTTTTGAGCTGGCCTGCACATATGCTGTACAGTCTTTATGCTCTTAACACACTCTTTCCACCGGGAGTCCAATTCAAGATAGATTAAGAACACAACCATCTAGTGATCAAAAGACCAAGATAAAACTACCAGAGCTACAAAGCGAGTGTATCTTGTTAGTGCAGATGTGTGTATTCAGTATTTTATGTCAGACCTGCGGTGCTATCAGTTTAGTTAAATCCTTTTGCTCCCTAGTGGTTAAAATGACCTTATGCATCTTTAAATGAATGGCAAATGATCAAAGTCAGAGTTAAGAGCCCACAACATGTAGGGATTATGTATATAACGTACTTGGCAGTGGGGCACAAACTATTCCTTTGTTTCTAATTTGGCAGCATCTCAAAAATAATCTCGTCTGTGCTGCTTTGTCCAAGGGTTATCAGCCTTTTCCAGCATCATTACAATAGTGTGGGAGGGCCATTGAACATGCGTAATTCTGTAAACTGGAGAGTGCTGTTGCTCCTGAGTTTCAGCCCTTTAAGGAACTTATTCCGTTGCTGTATCTCTCCTTTATCATTCAGCCCATAGCAGTACTTCACTTCCCCCTCTGATAATGCTGCAGCGATATGCTTTGCTCTCCCGGCGTGCTTAGACTTTTCTGCCTTCAAGCTACCAGAGTATCTTTGCACCACCGCCACTATCAACTCAGTCCTGCTCTCAGCGAAAGCCCAAAGCCACCATTGGACACATTTAATGTTTACTTTGAAAACCATGAAATACAATCCAATATTGGCCTGTTTTCCCCCAATCATTTTGTTAGTCCTGCGCATATTTATAATTAATCTGACGCAGTGATAATACATTTGATATGCTTCCTTATCATTTTACAGCTCGAGAGGAAAAGAGAGGTGTTTTTTTCTTCTTAGCCTGGCGCTTTTTGGATTTGAACGAGACGAGATCCAAATAAGGCTGACCTCTTCGCCCTGGAATCTTATGAGTAGAGCTGATAGTGGGAATTATTTATTCCACAAACTGGGCTGCAGCCTGGAGCCAGAGAGGAGTAGAGCATCCCCTTCTTATGTTGCTGCTATACTATGTATCCTCCTTCTCTCCTTGACTGTCTCTACTTCTGCCCCTAAAACCACCCTCCTTTCTTTCCATGCTCCAAATACAAAATAATCTGCTTTCCCTTCACTACCCTGACTGAAGCAGTGCCTCATGTCAGACTGAAGGCCTGGCTAGCCTCTTTTGTTCTGTGTTAACAATACTGATAATAATCAAGAGGCTTCGTCAGTCGGTGCGTGACTCTGGTTGGATAAATTGGAGAAATCAGCCACTTTGCTCTATAAGGGATGGGCCATAGCTCTGTCCATGTGTTCTGATCATTCATACAGCAAAGCAAAACCTTAAGTAAAAAGCCGATAAAGCTGTGCACCGTGAAAAAGATGTTCTTTCAAAGCCTTTGGAATAAACAGCCAATAAGAAAAGACCATGTTCCGAGCATAATATTTCTCTCTCCTCCTTGATTTATATTGTTTTTAGTTATTTATCATCGGTGTTTTTTTTACCCGTTTCCTTCATTACATTTTCTTAAAGTGTCACTTAACATTTTGCTCAGAGGTAAACTGTTATAAATGCTTCTTCTGGTACACATACTGTATCTAATGATAAGAATAATGATGGTTTTTAAAATCAATTCAACAGGATAAGTGAGAATATCTCAAATCGTTTTTCTTCCTTTTTTATTTCTATCAAGAAGAACATCAGCTCTGCAATTTCTTTCAGTGATATCCATTTATCTATTTTTAATCGCTCTGAAGCAGTAAGCGGGGAAGCACGCTCGTACAGGCCAGCAGGGCCTCAGGTGTTATTTCAGAGTCTGCAGATATAATCACTTGACTGTCTCATGGCACACCTCACCATTTCTTAGGACCTAAAGCCTTTTCAAATAGCCACCCGTCAAGTGAAGGCGTTCTGCTCTTCAGTATTCACACAACATCGAGACTGCATACTCTTTTTTCTTTTTAAACCTCTCTTCTTTTCTTCTGCCCTCAGATCACCCAGATCCTCCTTCATCGTTTGGCCAAGTCGACGTCTCCCACGACTCGGTCACTCTTGATTGGATCCCCAGCTTCAACGGTGGTCTGCGGCAAAGGTTTCGTGTAAGGTGAGATGTCAAAAAAGGGATGTTGGTTTAAGACTGACCCCCATTTCAAAATAAAATACCCATACCTGACAGAAGCTTTTGGTTGACAGATACCGTTGGGATCAGTCAGACAGTTTTCTGTATGTTGATGTCTTTCCTCCCGGAGCTACAACCTTCACGGTCACCGGCCTGCAGCCTGTCACCACCTACAACTTCTCTGTCAATGCCCTCAATGCAATGGGAGAGAGTGCCTATGCTGACAATAATGCAGTACTGACCATCACCACCAAGGGTCAGTTTGGAGTAACCCCAGCTTGACACTGAAAGGACACCACCGTACAACCGTCTCATGATCTAATATAAATTCAATATAAAGGTATAATGCTTAGAAAGTTTGGCTAATAAGTTTCTGTTTTGTATTTCTTCCTCTACAGAGAGGCCAGAAGGAGTCCCAACAGATGATGACTCAGTCTCACAGAGTAAGTCTTTTTTCTCCCTGATAAAAGCTCTTAAGGGCAGTTGGAAATTGCTGTTTGCACAGCAGCTAGCTTCATTTGGCTAAATCATGTTAATGTATGCACCTCCAAGGCTGTTAATGTTTGCTTTACGCAGAGAAGCAGTTGTCATGGTGCCCACCCACACTTTTCCCCTCTGCTATTCTTTAAATTAAGATAAATAAGAGAGCGTCTGTACCACTTCGTAATTATCATACTTCTTCTTTAACTTTTATTATTATACATTGAGCTAATCTTGTTAATGTTTTGTCGACTAGGTGCAAGCGGCCTGCCCGCCTACTTGACAGTAGTGTTCACCGTGGTGTTTGGAGTCCTGCTGGTGTTTAATTCAGTGGGTTGCTTCTTTGGTTTGAGGTGGAAAAGGAGGCGAGGCCAGACAGGTAACCATAATGATCTTTTGATCTATGGATGTGAAAGTATTTCCTCTATCCCTTTCTGGCATTATAATGTCCCGAATCCTCAACAGAACTCTAAAGCAATTACTCCAGAACCATGATGCAATTGTCAGCTCAGCCTCTCACTCTCTATTCATCTCTCCATGTCCCTTTTTCCAGCCGTCTATCCTGTCTCCTCGTCTTCCGCTTATTCTCTCAGCCTCTACCTCATGCCACATTCATCCTTCAAAGCTGTCACTTCTGCATTTCGTCCATATCTTTTATCTCATTTGCTAGCATTATGTCCTCCCTCTGTCTTTCCTTCTGTCTCTTTCTATTTGTTCTTCAGTCTAACTGTCAGGATCTCCCCTCTCTGTGTTGTATTTTTCTTTCCTCACCTTCCTCTGCCCTTTGCTTTTTCCACATACATTTTCTCACCTCACTTGTCTTTCATTCACTCTCACTCTCTGGCCCTTTTCTTGCTCTGATCCATTTGAGTGCTTATGAGATGATGCTCCTCTCTTCGAGTTCTGATGTCCTAACACTAAGCCTTTTTCCTCCCGTTTCCATTCCCCCTGCAGGGGGTAGAGGAGGCAGTGTGCTTGATGGAAAGAAGAATAAAGAGGAGGGGTAAGTTAAGGCAATCAGAAGTGGGATTAAAGAGACACACATCCAATCCACTTCCAAGTCTCAGGCCTTTTCCATTGGATGACCCAGCTACTAAAACAGCCAGGCTGGCAAAACAACAAGCCTCTGTCAATATACATTGTTATTAAGAACATGTGCATTTAGAGTATTGAGCTGTGTGTGCTCAATGTTTTGCATCCCTGGTATTATTATTATTATTATTATTATTATTATTTTTAAATACTTTATTTTGAAATGTTCTTTTAGTTACAATAAAGCAAAGACATACACAATATACAGTAAGTAGGTACCCGAAACCTTTGTATGGAGTACAAGAGAAAAGCTGGGTATTACATTGACAATTCCTGAGCATAGTGTAAAGCTGCCTGTCGACAGCATCGTAGAAATAAACAGAAAAGCCAAGGGTAACCGCATCACTGGTATCATTAAGTAGTACAAATGTTTGGATATAATTCAAGAAAGTTAAAGAAAATGAACGAATCAAATGTCTCCATGCAGGGGTAGTCATTCAACTGTAAGCACCGCCAATAAGTATGAGAGCAGAGAGAAGATCAACACGGCAGCCCAGCGCACCCTGCTCATCGACTCCGGATCTGAAACAGACAGCCACGTCTACGAGAGCTACGCAGCGGTACGAGCGGGAAGAGGGGGATGAGAGGGAGGGAAAGGGGTAGTTACACACAGCCGAGAAGGCTGAGTAAACAGATGAGGGGAGGAAAGAGGTTAGGCAGAGGGTGATGGGATCTGGCAGAGGAGGAAGTGGAGAATTCAGCCATAACGAGGAAAATGGATAAATAAACTCATGAAACCTTTAGCTGTGCATAGAGATGGAACACAGATCAATACCTCACAATTAGCATTCAAAATGCACATTGATCTCTGAGAAATTATCATTTTGTACTTTAAAAAGGCCAACAAGGATTTGAACCTTGAAGAAAACTGTTGGCTGAGGAAGAAGAAAACAGATGTGTGCTGTCAGGACGGGGTATAATAAGACCTCAAATCCCCTCTGAGGCAGGCTTTATCTTTACCCTCATTTAAAATGGTACCTGTAAGGGCAGGATCAGCCAAATGACTAAACAACACATTTCCCAAACCTCCTGCAGAGGTATCTTCCCCTTGAGTTTAGCTGGTCTGGGTTTTATTCCCTCCAGGTTTTGAAATATCTGTGTCTGATTTCTGCATACACCCCAATGAACAACTGGTTCAATGAATCCCTATTAGTGTGGATTCTCCCTCTCATCTTCTGCCTTTCATAGTTTCAATTACAACTGTGTATTTAAACGAGTGTTATCATCTCCCTAGCATTGGAGAGGTGGAAGAAATGCAGAAGACTAGGAAAAAGAAAGGCAAAGTAAATCAAAGAACATTTTTGATTTGATTACATTTGATTCCTATGACAAATTAAAGCTATGTTTCAGACACTGTGACAAGTACATCGGTTAATCAAAATGTCGGGGATAAAACAATGTAGTCAAAAGTCTGCATGGTGGAACTTTTTTTAGAAGCGAGTGACAAAGTAATATGCGGGAAAGGACCTTCCAAGAATTCACTGCAACCCCTGGCACTAGTGCAACACGTGGATTTGTCATTTACCTGAAGTTACCTCAGGCCAAAGCTGGGCTGATGCTATCTCTTTTGTTCATTTCAGGGAAGTTCCCATTATTATTACCCCAGCGGTGACTACATGCTGCCTCTGAACCCTCACCCTGAGGAAACACGCAGGCACGGTGAGACATAAATACACCTCAGAGTAAACAAGGCAACAGTAAACACCTGGCTCCTTTCCAAAATATGATGCGGTCCGAGCCAGTCAGGAGCTGAATCAGTCCTTGTGACTCAGCTGGTGCCACCTGGAGTATATTCTGATTTATCTTAATGTTTACTACTAGTTATTATTGATGTTTGATGTATGCAATCATATGTGCTTTTCAAGATGTCACCCGCCTCCCTGTGGACCCTCACAGCCATCTGTATGAAGACGTAAGAGACAGGGGTCTGTACCAGGACATCCTGGCTTCCACACTTCCTTCCCCTCCACCCTTGTTCGACCACAGATTGCCTCATCAGAGGAATGAGTCGAGATCAAAAGCATACCCTCAGGTCAGAAAAAGCAAGCCTACCTATGATAAGAGCTCCTACGTGATGTATTACTTACATGTATTATCACTATTCAGTTGTGAAAGGAACCGTTTATGAAGGTGGATAATGTTCTGCTGCTGCTGCTGCTCTGTGACATTAATGATAACTGAGATGCAATCTGTGTCTCAGCAGGCTGCTGAAAGAGCGAGGGATGTTCGACAACCGCCGAGAGATTCTCATCTTCCCTTTGAACAACGAGGCGAATTAGTCTAGAGTGGGAAGGTCAGAGCAAACAAATACACTACGACAGGGCTCAACACAAGTCATTGAGTACTGTTTTGTATCGAAAATACTGAATGCTAAACGTTCTGAATCATCTCTCCCTAGTCTTATAGAATGTAGCTGTCACATGAGTCAAGTCGAGCTCAATGTGATATGCAACATAATACCGAATTTCCCTTTTACGTCTTTTTGTATACTTTGCTAACCTTGAGCGCTTTCGTCAGATCGGGTGGACCAACAGTACTGTATGTTAAACTGAAGGAGCTTGAAAAGCAAAAACGAATGGCAGAATGATGAAATATATGATGTGTATGATATTACCACACGCAACATGAATGGTTCTTTTCAAACACTTTTACAACAGACCGGCCGCTAGTTTATATCCGTCTCCCTCTGTGATATCACTCGTCCCATGACCTCGCTTTGTTATTTTGTCTTTAGAGCCAAGTCACGGTTACTACTCACAATCCCCCCCCCGCCCCCATCCTCCCATTAGGCCTGCAGGTAGACATGAATCAGTCAGTTAGAGACAAAAATGGACTGACATCGCTGTAGTTGGCAACGGGGCAGAAGCAGCGCAGAGTCACAGTGCCACCCAAGCAGACAACATCCTTTTTGACCCGTCCAATGTCAACATTTTGAAACATGTACAGATGAAACCCGGAGACTGTGGCCTTTCCCTTCCCTCTCTGATACAAAGAGTTTCCCAGTAAGTCCGTGAAATCCCGACAATGGGATCGCACTGAGTGGTATTTAGCATGGTTATGTCTTCAGTAAGGTAAAGCCATATCTTGGGCCAGACTCTAATCCTGTTTTCTCTCGGATTGAAGTTTAGCTCACAGCATCAGTGAGAGCGGGTGAGAGACCGTGTCAGGAATTTGTCTCACTGAGAGTGGTCACTCACAGAGAGATGGATTCAGGAAGAGAGGGATAAGCTGATGCTGTGGCTACTGCTTCAAAAATAATCCCTGGCCTCTTCCTTTGGTTTCCATTATTGTTCAAATTGTAGTTCAAAGAAAATAAATTCACTGCATAGAGCTAACCACTCCCAATAAAATAATTATATTTATTTATAGGACTCTTTGCAAACCCAAAGTTGCTTTACACGAGATATCAAATTAAAATCAACAAATGATATACTCCAATATAAAATATAATAAAAATTGAGTAGATATGTGATGGTTCTCTAATAAATCGGAATAAGATGGCACAACTGGCTTATGTTTTATCAGAGCGCAAAAACATATAAATGTAAACATGTAGCATTTTTTCTTTTCTACAAGAGGCTTGCGTCAGCTCGAGGTGTACACATGAATGGTATCCTCCTCGGCTGAGTTGCTACATTAGTTGGCTGAGTAGATGCATGTTTCCTGCATGAAACTGTTAACAATAAGGTCTGTAGATCTTCTTCTTGAGTAACTATATCAAGATTTCCAGAAATAATCTGTTGAGCTTTTCAGATGTATTCTTTTGGTACTTTGGGCATCACAAGCAGAGAGCTAGCTAGTTACATTATATTCAATAGAGTGCTGACATCTGTACAGACAATATCTCAAACACTGAGCACCTCAAGCCAACATATCTTAGATTAAAACAGCACCACAGGTAAGATACATAGTTAGCAATTGTATGTGAATTGTTCTTTTAAGCTCAACATTGCTTAAAGCTTAATGCTAATATCAGTGTGCTAATATGATAACAATGACAATTGATGTTTAACAGGAGTAAGGTTTATCTGCCACACCACCTTAGTTTAGCCTGTCAGGAAGCTAACATTCGCGAGTTAGCACTGAAGCACAGCAAGTGCTGACGGAGATGTCATTATCTTTCATAAACCAAAGTAGTGGGATAATTAAAATGTTAACCTGTTAATGGAGATAGTTCAAACGTCAGGGGATGATTCATCCTGAGAGGAATATGACTGTTTAGACAAACTTTCATTGCAACCCATCAAATAGCTGTTGAGATATTTCAGTCTGGATCAAAGCTAGTGTGGTTTAACAAATCCAAAGCTTGGTACTGACTCAGCCATCCTATCTTCAAGCAGGTCTTTAAAGAAAAAAAGAAAAAATCAGACAGATATATATTTTTGATTAATAACGTTTAAAGCTACAGTCGAATACTATCACTGACACGCAGCCTAAAAACCTAAAGAACACAACAGAGACCATATGGCCCTTTGTTATACAACAACAAGGTTCAAGGGCTCTGTGTGTTTGTCTACTGTTATGCAGAGATCAGAGACACTTGCTCAAAGTTTCCATAGCTCTTTAAGCTGCTGCCTTGTACAATACACAAATAGGGGAAGAGCTTTTCCTATATCTGTGTACACAATGGTTATGCATGCATCCTGGTTCTGCTTCCAGCTAATGCTATTCCCTCATGCACGTTTCACGAGTCTCATGAGAACACACACATAACACAGCACAGATGACACTATTAGATGAGACTCACAGTTTATAAAAAGTGTTTATCTTAATTTATCGGTCGTCAGTAGAAGTGTGCATTTTTTCCTTTACTATTTTGTTGAAGATGACGTGGTCCGCTTTATACCTTCTTTTTTTTTTTAGCTGAACCAAGTTTCACAATAGTGTAATACACATCTGAAATATGTATACTTTATATTTAAATTCTGATGATGTTGTTGTTATCCACACATTTGCACAACCTACACCATTCTGTTTCCTCAAAGGCTTGACTGCCTGGAGATAAATCGCAATATTTCATATGAATGTGTTCCTTCAATTAGTCTCCCTATTCTCCATCATGAGCTGTCAAGGTGTGTTTGTCTCATTACTGAGCCATTGTTTAAGTTCCTGTCAAGATGACTGCTGTGTTCATTCCTCAGCATGTTCATGATGCATCCTTTCTGCTCAGGCACAAACGCTAATCTGCTCAAGTGAAGGCTTGACAGCTCAATACTGTACCTCAACCTCTGTTTTTCCTCATGAACGTTTTGATATGATGCGTTCAGAAGAATCTCGGGGGAGATGGAACACTCATTCTGCACGAGTGAACATTTAGGTCAAAAGAGAAACAAAAATGAGACTCTAATTATCTCAGCCCTAGGAGAGTCTTCACATTTCCCCCCTCTCATGAATATTTTTCTTTCTGAAAAACAAATATGAGATTGAATAACACTCATTTATGACTTTAACAGGTTGTGCTACCAGTGGGGAGTTAACTCAAATTTAACTCAAATTGCTGCGAACCCTGTCATTGCTGTCATTATTCCGATTTTTTCAATTTCAAATAGTTAGAAATCAAATCAAAAGCAACCACAGGTTTTACAAATTAGAACATGATTGTAGCGGCTGTTATTATGTTTCACTTGTGCCTGTGATCTCCTGTTGTCAGTTGGGATGTAATTGGCCTGCCAATGGATAAAAGAATACAACTGAACAAATATAACAGGCGTCCATTAAGGGAAACTAGGGAGTGAAAACACAATAGATTGTTCATTTTAATAAGGTCAGATCTGAACGCATATTGAAACTAAAAGAACATCACCGTCTTGTCCATAGTGTATCAGGCTACATGGAGACACAAGGGTCAAAATAAGTGGCTACAGAGCCGAGAGAGACTGCACGTAAAACAACAAGAAGTTGAGTCTGGGATTTTAATCATTATTAAAGCCCTGCGCACTTACACTGCATATTTGTCTCTATCTGAAATAGTGCAGAATTAATTAAGCAAAATTCAAATCCAGACAAGCAGTACTCTCCTGGTATTTCCCCCCAAAGGTATACAGTTTATTCAACAAAAGAAAAATAACTTTCTCTTTCAAGTCTCAGTCGAACCAGGGTGTATTTTTTATTTTTCACTTGTAAGCACATTTAAATCCAAACGTCCCTCTCTGCATATTACTCATTTAAATACACACTTACTCCCACTCCAACACTACGATAAAATGATGACTAAAGGACAAAGAAATGAATAACAAGCTGTTACTATTAACTCAGAGTATAATATGACACTCAGTTAAAATACAGTTTTTTTGCATTCATACATCACTTTCTGAAATGTAGTTTTAAAGGTTTATCCACACCTGATTAAAACCTACATCCATGCATAAAATAAATATGTTCTGACCAGGATTAATATAAAGCAGAGTTAATGCCTGCAATCAACAAAAATCCTCTGCTACAGAAACGAATAAAAAAATTGTAAAATGAATAGCAAAATGTGAAATAGTCTCTGTGTGTCAATCAGATGAATAGTTGTTATTAAAATGTCTCAGCAACCTTTCATTGGACCAACTTTACTCTTATAAAGTGGAATACATACACACTTCCCCCCCACCTGATAGATTATTAATGATCGATAAAGTGGAGCTATATTAAGGATGTTCATTATAAAGTGCTAAGTGTTTCTTTAGAGCAATCATAGAAATGTGAGGGATGACAACTTGAACCAAAAGCTCTGTAGACAAAGACTGTTCTCTGCTATTGAGGAAGGATGAATTGCAGGCTTTGTCTTCTGTAACAGTCTTGATGTGTTCGTCAAAGTTAGATAATGCTGTTCGGCCGCAATCCCACACCAATCCTGCAGCCTCGGAGCAATAACTCAACAATCTGACAAAACCCAAAGATGTGTTACCTCTTAAACCGCAATTCAATGTGATTGACATAAAGATATGTGAGTTTACAAAAGAATTACAAACTTTTTAATATGTTTTTTTATTTCATTTATTGAAGAATTGCTTCTATATGCTTGTTGAAAAGTCAAGTATTAACTATAGTTATTTACAGCTACACATATTCACAAACATCCTCAATGTAAGTGTTCAAAGGAGGATATTTAATAAAACTTCATCAATAAAATGTTTAACAAGTCCACAAGTATTGTTTTTTTGTAACATATCAACAGTCTCTAATTACAACAAGGTCATCCATTTCTTGTTTGTGAGACAACAAGATGAACAGAGATGACAGATGTGGACAGAACAGATTGTATAAACGTGCAGAAAGACAGTAAGCTAGACAGGATGACAGACAGGTGGAACACACAAGGGTGCGATAAATGACAGTATTCTGTAGGGGAAACAGAAATAAAGAAGGGCGACAAGCTGCTGTGCTTGGAGACGGCTGAACCGCTGACAGAAATCTGAGCACAGCGAGTGAGAGTGGAAGACTAGGAGGCAGAGAACAAGAAGGAGGAGGCCATGACATGAGAGAGTGGGTGAGCGAGAGACTGAAACAGAGTTCAGACAATTGGATGAGGAAGTAGAGATGGTGAGCACATGGGTGTGGTTGGTTAGCAGTTAGCCCATCAGCCTTTCAGGAGTGACAGACACAGGAAAGCAGCGTGGATGATGAGGCCAACGATGAACCTCTGGACCCGGGGAGCTCCCAGGATGGATACTAAGGTAAGCATACTATCCTGGATGGATGACTAAATATGAGGCTGCTGAGAGGTGTTTTGGTGAGGTGGACTGAATGGAGAGATTGATGGAGGATGACAGACAAACGGATGAACAGACAGACGGAGAGTGAGGGAGAGTGCTAGATGTGACAAACAGGCAGGCAGTCAGGCTAGGGAAGGCAGAGACGCCTGTACAGCCCAGGGGACACAGGCCTCATCTTGACATATGCTCTGGAGTGAAATGAAGATTGGCATGACCTGCTAATCTGAGCTGTCACAGCTCATGACGACCACGGACGCTCACCTGTCACACGGCTCCACGCCCGGAGGACGAGCTGCCACCAGGATAGGTCAAGGATCCAGATTCCTTTTCTGCTGGGGGTGGATTCAAACCGAGTCACTGGCCTAGACCTCCATCCGTCACTATACCTGCCTCTGCATGGCAGCTGTGTCTCTATAAAATCATGCAATATGGGACAGCTTTTTACCTATTTCGGTTTTTCTATAGTTCTTTTGTTTTGAAGCTAAGGGCCATATGTTGTGAGGGGGAGGAACGAGTATGTTTTTCAGCTGAACCAGACAATGCTGTTCACCGGTACAGGAGTTCCATTATGCTAAAAGGAGTTATTTTGACACATCCTCCAATGCCATTTTTTTTTTTAAGCAGGCGACAGTTGGAAACTGAAATGAGATGAAGTTTGATCAATAGTGCGACAAAGTTCAATACACGTGTGGGAGGATAGCATACACAATGTGTGGCCTCAATCACTCATTTTTGACAAATGAATAAAACATGTGGTTATGATAATATATGTGTATTTTACAAAGTTTGACATTCAAAGTAAGAAGCTGTGTTTTGTTTTTTTGGCAAACCGCGTGAGGGTGAGTGGGTGATGTTGCCTGTGTGCTTTAAGAGGAAGGAGAAGTATAAACCTCAATGAGTGCAACTTCCTGTGTAATACATTTAGCACTGCACAACATGTTCCATAGTGAATGCTTTCTCACATGCACCCTTTTTATTTGTATTTAAGTGTATGTCCAACATTTGGTCATGCTTTGGTTAATCCATTGAAAAATTAAAACCCTGCTAAACAGCTGTCTTTCTGGGAGCTACTGCACATATGTTTTTTCTAGATATGTGTATCTGCTCCGATTTAGCTGTGTTACTTTGCAGATCTTGAACAAAATGGTAGAGAATGTAATACAACTGCATACATTGGAATTATTTTTGTATTTACTTGCACTATCTTTTCTGTTTTATTGTGTTGTACTGTTGGAGGAGCCTGTGACCTAAGATTTTCATCGTCATAACTACACTGTAGCTATGTACGCATGACCAATAAATGCCTTGAACCTTGAATTCAATTTGATTCACTCTTTCTGCATTCTTATTTCAGCTCCTCTCCCTTTTAATATGTTTTTTTCCTTTCAGATTTATTTTTCCTCATTGACCTTCATCCTCTTTGTCATGTTAAAAGGTGAGTGTGTTTAAATAATTAATTTCAAAGCAGGTTTTAACATTTGCTAAACAGCAGCCACTTTGGTCAAAATCACATCGACAGGATTATGCTAAAATGTTGCTTTGCAGGTAGGCAAACGTAGAGTCAGAAAAGTAACGCATGTCAGTTACACAACAATATCCATCTGGAGTTTGCTAGCATTAGCCAGTAGCCTATAAGCTAAGTCATTACAGATGAGGAAAGACTGTTACAGCAACGCGCCTGGGTGGATTGAATTGTGCAATAATATGTTTTAGTTCAAGAGTTCGACATTTTGCTTGTAAGAGGGACTACATGTTATTTCTTCTTTCAGAATTGGGTCTTTTTAAACAGCAGCTTGCTTATTAGCAACTTAAAGGGGCACTACAGCCTTTTAGTATGTTGCCTCCATACAATTGTAAACTTGTAAGAGTGATTTTAAAAGAAAGGTCAAAAATGATCCTGCAGAGGTCAATATATTTATTATTATTATTATTATTATTATTATTACATATATTTTTCCTCACCAGTAGGTGGAGTTGACCTTAAAAAACACATGAAACCTTGTCAAAAATGTTATAATGTAAAAACATTTGAATGTGGATCCTAATATTACTTAACTTTATCCCAGTCAAGATAAGAGTACTTTATCACACTTTATATCCAAGAATAACAGACGACGCTGATATGAAAGGTCTATTACAGTAGAAGAAAAAAAAATGTTGTATCCACACAATACTGCTAACACATTAAACAATCCCAACACCCATAGTCAAGTTTCCTGCATATGGGTTCATTAAAGTAGTCAGAATCACAGCATTAGCCGATAAAGTGGAGGTTTTGTATAGCTCCGGCACTAATGGGAAGGTGCTGAGTGAGTAAACAGACAACGGCTTCACTGTCCCTTAGGCTCTCACAACAATCCAGCTCTGTTGTAGCCAGAGGTTTTGTAAGAGCCACTTCTTTGTAACTGTGCCGCACTGCCCCACTCACAGGACTTTCACTGTGACATACTCTCAGTGCATCTGCAGGCCTCTCTCCCCTGCACGGCCAGACATTCTCCAGTCTGGCCTGTGCCAGGAATACATCACAGCACTGTTTGAGAACATCACTGGGGTAAACAACAGGGCCCTTTGGTCTTCCTGTAAGGTTTAGAGTATGGAGCCATCGCTGTAAGGCTTTATCTGACTTGTGTTTTTGGTGATTCAAATGTGTCTTTTTCCCCCCCGCAGTGGCAAGAGCTCAGTCTCCCACAACGGCGGATCAAATGCAGTCTGTGAGCAACAATATGGCAAACGGAACAACAATGCCCACTGCTCATACTCCCACTGGTACGCATCTCGTGGCCATGCTGAAAAATTCCACTTTGCAGCGCTTTTCCGTCTCCAGGCTTTTTCCTTTTTTTACATTTACAACCATATACATAAATGTTAGTCATTACAGTTATTTATCCACTTATCTATCAAGCTGCCTGCCTGTGTTTAGTCTGTGTTTTGTTCTGTCTTCCTGACTGTCTGTCAGTGGGTGGAGGAGGAAAGTTGGTCAAGGAAGAGCTTAATGTAACTTTTGTTTTAACTGTTGCATAGTGCATCTTATTCTATCAAATCATAATTTATTTTTAATGTAATCTTCATCTGTGAAGTGACGAGTAGACATAGCTAAAGAGTAAAAACAGAAACATATTTATCTATCTATCAACCGTCTTCTTATTTAATCTAATGTCATTTTTTTAGCAAAAGGTCAGGCCTCTTAGCCTCTTGTTATTCAGTTTCTTTCTTGATGTAACAGGAAGAGGAGTGCAGAGCAGATTCACCAGAGATGCTGACTCCTCCCAGGAAACTCCCGCCACGAAACGCGCCACAAGCCAGCAAACTAGCAAACCAGTCAACGCCACTATGATACAAATGAACAGTACACTAGGTAAGTATGGTGCTGTTAGTGATATACATAACTCACATTATTTTAATGAAACCTCATGTGACTTGTATTTGTCTTTCCCTTTAGCTCCCAATAATGGCACAACTAAGCTACAAACCAAGCCAACAGGTAACAATCTGCACCCGTCACATGTTTGAACATCATTGAGTTAGGCGGGTCAAAAGACCATAAGCACTCCAGTATGCTATAACACCACCTTACAGTAAGCTTTCTCCCCTTTAAAACTAATTATGAGTTAATTAGAAAATGTTAAACTCCCTGTCCTTATTGAGATATACTGTACAGTACAGAGGAACGTTCTGCAATTTACAGCACCAGAGAAAGGGAGAGAACTAAAGTGAGAGCAACAGAGAGAGAAAAGGCTGATATGTGTTTTAAAAAGTGTCAGCCTACATTTCCTAAGAGAGCCATTTCACAAAAAAATATTCAGAAATTCAATTAAATATGTAGCATAGGAATGCACCTGGAATTTAGTGAGAGATAATTAAGTATGGCTAAGATAAGGAATCAATATGTCCAAAGAAAAATATGCTTCCATATAAACTATGAAACTATGCCCTTGCATTATTTTTGCATTACATTCAGACAGAAAAGGGATCCATAAAATCAAAAATGTCATGAAAACTAATGTTTTTACTGTCTATATTTTGTATCCACAGTGACATCTTCCCCATCCACAACAACTAGGAAAGCCACCAAAGTTGTTGCCTGGGGTGAATAAAAATGTTACTACTTCATAGTTAGCTTGAATGCCACAGGCGTTGCGGTTTCGTTGTTATCTCATGGCAGACTGACAGTATCACAATTCCCTGTCTTCCAAACAAAACCCATGGCAGAGTGGTAGAACAGAGCTCCTCACGGCCTCTCTTGCCGGAAGATTAATGCTTGATTGTACCTTATGCAAAGAGGGATAAGATATGTGTGACCTCATGCTGTGCTGGGTTCCCACACTGATAGGGTTTTTATACAACAGCATGTCAGAGAGGCCAGTAGATCTATTTTCTATCTCTGACTGTTGTTCCCCATGATCCTTTCTCTCTTTTGCTTTTCCTCAACTCAAACTTAATTCAACACTTTACTTTCTGCTTCTTATAGACCCGGAGCAGGATAAAGATTTCACCTATGGTAAGAAGCTATATTTGCCTTTTTTGTGTGTTATTACCTGTTGTGTCTATGCACTGTGAAAACAGAATATGTCTTTACACTTGATACAAGACATAATAACTGAGGAGGTAACAATGCAGTGAGATATAGGGTCTTGTTTTTAGACAATGCATCTTCAAGACTCTTGAAAACATCTTATTTTGAGTTGTATCTCAAATGAAACAAGTCCTTTAAGCTGCTGTGGTTTTTGTAAAAGATGTTTAATCTTGCTTTAACAAATTAATCTTACTTGATTTCAAAAACAAAAACAAATTCTTATTAGAAAATCACCAATTAACATCGGAAAACTGAAATCTTTTGAGCATTTCAGGCTTATTGTGTAATAACATTTACATGATCCTGGTCAAATACAGTTCAAAATGAGTCTCCTTTAACTAAATATCCCATCTTATTTCAAGAAATCTAACCAAGCAAATCTTGACTTGTTCTATTGGCAGATTTGTTTTAAGTGAGAACACCTTGTTTTCATTATTCTTTGACTTGATTTTGGAGCAGTATTTTTTCCAGTGTGGTCTTGATTCATGTGTTACTGTATATGTCCAGATTACGAGTCCCTGCGCTATGCTGGACTGACCATCGCAGCAGTTCTTTTCATTGTGGGCATCATGGTCATTGGCTGTAAGTGTGGCTCTGCAATTCACTTTATTCTGTTGTTAATCACTGCAATTATAGCCCACTGCACTCCTAACTCTTTTGCTTATCTCTGTCTGCAGGTGGCAGGATCTGTCGGCTGCCCAACTGTCACAAGAAGTCATCTAAGTAAGAACTTTCTTTCATTCAAGTTAATGTTCAAATGTTTTATATGCTTGAGGGGTCCATCATTAGCACAAGAGCTGAATAATTTAAGACAATGGAAGCTGATGCAAAAGTGATGTTTAACTAAATTACAGTTTGTGAGCAGGAAGCCCTGCTTATATTGCAAGGTGGGGGAAGTGTGGTAGAATGAGTTAGGTCATTTATATCACAGGCTGCCGGGTGATATATGGCAAACAATCAGTCATGTCAGACATATAATAGCTCAACAGAATGCTGACTAAAATCTCTGTGATGATTAATATGCAAAAAAAAAATGATTAAGCTATTTGTTGGGTAAAACCATAACTGCAAAGCGCATTGTTTATTTTCCTCATAGTGGTAAAGTTTTGCTTGATACATATAATTGATTGCCTAAATAAGGCTTGATACTTGAATATGTTTTTTTTTCAGATCTTACCAGGTGGTCCAAGGCTAAAGAGAGAGACACCATGTGTACAAATAATAATAACAATAAAGTGCTAAGAAACACTCAAACCTGAATGTGTGTGTGAACGCAGACTGAGTGACTGCACGCTGCTTGGTAACAACATTGAAAAACACCCAATAAACAAATAGAAAACGCAATCCATACTGACTTAAGCTTTGTCTAATGTCCTTTCTATAGTTAGCAGACTGCACTTAGAAAGTAAAGCGATTATTCATCTTGGCAAATAACGATGATATTATTCATATTTTAATCACACCTTCAGCCATGAAGCGGCTGGTTTCTCAATGACCTTTTTTTATCTTATAACTGATAACACAGCCATAGGCAGTGTCTCACAGCCAGGATTATTATTATTAAAGGTTATGAAGAATTACCCCTTAACATTGTGTGTTTGATAATCTCGCACAACACTTCAGGATCTAAAACTGAGAGCTGGGTCACTTTCTCTCCCTAATAGATCCTGCATGCCTTTTACGCCTTCAGTCTCAACTAACGTGATGTTTAGGAAGGGTGTCTAAGCCTCTTAGTGGCTCTATGCTTGTAAGTGAGTAAAGCCCTAGATTAAACAAGATCCACTGGCGCATTATCTTTGCATCCATATGGCATAAAAACGATGCAGACAACAAACTGGGAGAAAGCAAGCACATTTTATCAACAGAGTACAGCATACCTTAGTAATACACAGTAGTATCAACTGTTCTGATAAGTATCAGAACAAATCAGAGAGAGAGCAGATATGCAAACAATTGATTCATGATATATGACTGCAATTGAGATACTGTATATAGCTATATAATATATACACATGGTAAATAATTATATAAAAAAACAATGTGAATTCCCTTTGCACAAACACATAAGTGGGAGTTCTTCCAGAAAGACAAATGCATTCGCACATGTGAACAGTACTCAACATTAAGTCCAAATGTAAATGTTTTGCTAAACTAAATTACAGATATCTTATAAAAGAGTTTTGGGAAAAAACATATTCTCACTCACCACAAATTTCTTTTTACAAACAATTTATAAATGAACAGTGGAGATAACACATAACCCCTTAAGTATATAAAAAGACCATATAGCCAAATACATTATGTTGTTATATGAAGAGACACAATGCAAATATATAAGTCTGTAAATACATACAATATATTATATTTTAAATTCTAAAAAGAAATGTGTAAGGCCAGGCAAAGCCTTTAGTACGGGGCGCTGATGGCTTTATGGACTGCAGCTTTAGAAAACATGTGCAATTAGACCAAAAAAAAGAGAGAGACATCGTGCACATGCACATTTGAGTACAGGAATCCTGCAAATTGTGCAGACATGCGTGTATTTGTAGCACGTCTCTGTACTCGATTCTCTTTATTTCTTATCATGCTTACATTTTGACACCTTGATAAAGATGTTTTCTTTGTTTGCTTTTGTTTGTCTCTTTGTATATGCTTCTTAAGTTGCAGTGCATTGACCTCAGGGACACCGTACTCAAGCCTGTAAAGAAAATAAAATAAATCGGAACCTTTTCCAGATAAATCCCATTGAGAAAGAAACAAAAGCTCAACACCTACTTTTGTTACATTTACAAACGCAGCGTCAGAGCCTTTACAGGAGGGAATAACTGAGTAGAGTTTGGTCACATTAGAACAGGCTACCAGACTAAATGTGTTTCTCTTTGGGTTTTTACAAAGTCTTTCTGCTTATTGAAAACAATCTTAAAAGAGAACACTGCTGCCATGCTGTACAATTATGGTTTGTCATTCCGACAGAAAAAGGGGAAATACTAAGACTTAAAAAAACCTGAAATGTTTTGCACTGCAATTTTTGTCCAATTGTCCACCAATTGAAATGTTGGCACATATTGAAGGCTCTTTGGGCAATGCTACGCTTGTGTGACACATACTGTACACACAGTGCTCAAATCTGATCATAAAACAAACGCCCAAACAATAATCTCATCTGCCAATGTGTCTCTGTAAATTGGGATACATTATTTTCAAGGCAACGCCTCAACAGACCTACAGCTGCTGTACACACAGTAGAGGACGTGACTGCCCAATTGTTTTTGCTCTCAAGTCAGGCTGGAATGAGGCCAAGCCCTGTCCCCAGTGGCAAGATTAACAGCAGGATTTAGTGGAAGAGCAAAGAGAGATCCTGCTTTGACAAATCCAGTGTTTAACCCCATGTAGCCATCCCCAGTGCGCTTTCTCCATTATAAGTGTCGTCATGATCCACAATTGAAATACCATCATGTCGATCTGGAGCATGTCCCATTCCCCTTTAACCTTGGCAAGAGAGAGTTCCCTCTTTATTGCAACAAATAATGCAACCAGTGCGTGGGGTTCTAGGACAGAAAGCTTTCTTTCCCAGGACATGATTGATTTCCATTTAAATGGAAAGAGAGGAGCCATAACGCTTTGTGTGTATAAAACAAAACCATTGTTGGTATTTTCCCAATCATCCGCAGGACTTTATTTGATTTGTGAGATTAAATCCTCCCTCACACCCAGCTTCTTTCTACCAGTGTGAAGCATTAGTCTAACTCTCTACTGCCCTCAGAGAGCTGCTGTATTTACAACCAGGGGGCCTAAAGTGAAAGCCTTTCATAGGGGGGGAAGGAAAACATAATTCTTTGGGCAGTTGATTAATATCATTTCTTGCAAGATGTTCACACTATTTTCACATGTCTCTATTTACTAAGGTGGAGAAGAGGTTGAACAGGTTTTTATCTCTTATTGCTCAACCTCCTGTCACTCCTAATGGGCCTAGAACAGAAGGTGTCAGACAAGTGAAGTGAGCAATGGGCTGGCTTAGCGTGGATTAGCATGGTTTGTCTAGCTCCTCAACCATTTCACACAGGCAGGTCTGTTCCACATGCACCGAATCAAACGCGAAAAACACTTTCACTGCATGGCTGGTAGGAATCATTTCTTGTTTCAGGTAGTTAAAAAAAGGGAAACTCTTGCTGTGCTGAATCGTCCCTTTTAACAAAAGAAGCTTTAAGCCATATTCACTGGCTTGGATTTGGATTCCTCAAATAGAATCCAATTAAAAGGTTTGAATGTGTTCCAAATGTCCCCAGCTAAATTGCGTGTTTGTGGTGTATAAACGGCTGGGGCAGAGACTAAAGTATACAACAGTGGAAAGAAAATGCATATGTTTTGTTAGTAGTTGGTGTAGTAGCGAACTATGAACTGCATGGAGGAAGCAGGCTGTTGTGCAAAGAAATCTGTCCTGAGTCAAAGAGTAGGAGATGACATAACCCAACGCTCCTCTCTTGTCTGTTTGTTATTGGAGTGCTACTCCACCAGGAACTAGACGGTCCCTTTCTGGTCCTGCTCTGTGGGCACGGAGTAGATCCTGAAGAGAAAAGGAGGACAAGCCACAGGAAAGTGGTGAAAAAGGAAGGAAAGGAAAGCAAAGGAAGGGTGATGAGAGGAGAGAGGGCAAAAAAAACAAAAGCATGTCAACTTCAAGATATTTTTTAGGTTCTTTCTCAGTTTGTTAGAAGATAGAAACATCCCTGCGTGTCTGAATTCAGGAAAACGAGGCGTCTGCCTCATGCAGCGCTCTGACAGGAGCACGGTGACTGCATCACCTCAAAACACAGCTCATCCCCAGGTGTGACTTATAAACCTCGCAAGGCACTGTTGATCCAACAAGCCAGAGGTTGCTGTGTGATTAAGCCTCTTTTCAGCAGAGCGATCAGTCAGCACCAAACACTGCCGGAGCTGGCTGCAGCCCCGCGAGGCAGCCGCTAATCCTGCACAGGAATTTAACCCTTGCAGATTGTCTTGTGTTTCTTCTCTGCAATGGCAGTTTTTTCTGCTGCTGCCTGGAAATCTCTGGGGACTAACTTAAACTCTATAACCTCTCTCACCTGACCCGCATATCGTGTATTACTGCATCCCAGAAAAAACTAAGCAAACTGATTACTGTGCAGAAAGCCTACCTAGAGCTAACTGCATTTAAGAAACAAGGTGTACACGAGAGGCAATAAGCGTTAAACTGGTTTAGGCTGTTCTGTCTCTCTGAGTAATGTTGGCAGATTGTTGTCATGACGCCAGGAACATGTTTACTGTATTATTTTAATCATCTACTCAGGCCTCAGTTCATGAGGTAATCTATGGACAAGTTGGATCCTGTTCCAGTCAGTTATACAGAGCCAGCAGCCCCGTCTTAAGGCTATTGTTACAGGGCTAACATGGGAGGGTTAGAGGTGGGGAGCGCTCATTGGATGCAGTGCCGGGCCCCTGGCTGTTAAACTCTTCTCTGTACAAGTCCAGACGGGCTCTGATGGGTGGAGGCTGGTTACGTTTCTGCGCCTGATTGTTTTTCTCTGGTGTTTATGCTGATGAGTTGGGTGAAGTAAGGTTCATTGGCAAGCAGAAAGGCTGTTACCCATCAGACTGGTTATATCAGCTGTAAGCGTTAAGTGGAACATGCATCTCTCAAATATCAACTTTGAAAATAAAGAGATTTGACCTTACCCTTGCTCTCGATTGCGCATGTTCCTTCTTACT